TATATATATCTCAAAGGACTAAAACATGGCACCATGGATGATCATTTTTGTCACCACTGGTTATGGGTGTCAAATATGGAGCTTTAATGTTAATGTTTTAGCGGTTGCCATGTTTGTTTCTGGAGCCAGAAATGAATGAATAAAAAGATGGAGTCCTAAGTTAGCAGCTAATGCCAGCTAGCTGGTTGTGTTCATAAATTATATTGGTTGAACTACTTGAAAGGTCTCTACCTCACAGCAAAGCATCAGATAACCAATTAAAATGCCTCAAAAAGGCACCATGAAGAAACCTACAGTGAAGCAGTCCAATTTAACGACTGAAAGAAGTAGATGAGGCCCCACAGAGTCCAATCACAAGAACTGACAGACAATGTGATCATTGGTTTGAGCCCAAAACAATTATCCAGGTAGGTGAATTATAAGAAAATTAGCCCCATTTAGTGTTGCTGATGAAGTGGCAAACTATTCATAGAGACCAAAAGACTTTTTTGTACTGCCGATTTGTGGTTTTTAATTTATTAAAGTTGGGCAATTTATTTAGGGGTGGCTGTAGAGTAGGCCTTCCACTAACTCACAATTTAGGTTGTTGGTTATATCCCTGGCTGCATTAACACAGTAGTTCAGAATAGACTCATTCCTGCCACTTGCATCCACAGCTTGTGATCACAAGTGAGGGTAGGGACATAGATCAACTGGCGAACTGCTCCAGTGCGAGCACGAGATCCCCACCTCATAGAACCAACAGAACCACATCATCTGCAAAAAGCAGTGATGAGATTCTGAGGGCACCAAAGTGGAAGCTTTCTGCCACCTGGCTGTGCCTAGAAATTCTGTCCTTAGGTGTACACTACGTACAATTGCCTGTACCATGACTGAGCGTGATTGTTGTCTTACACAACTGGTGACATACTGTCATCTCACATGCCTTGTAGATTTGTTAATTACCCAACACAGTGATTTTCATCGAAACACTTATTGTGGAGTAAGTATTGGAATTATCATCACTGGTGACAGGGTTACTGTCATACATTTTGTTGGAATTCACTGGTTTTTGCAACAGGAATTTGTCCAGGGATCAGCCAGTCAATGCAGACCTCTATGGTAATGTCTTGAGGGATCAATGCAGAACATTTAGCACTGAACTACAAAAACTGTGGTGTGTCAGCACTAAGTGCATTCAAAATGCATGTTTTCTTGACAACATCAACACAAATCTGTTTGCTAGATTTGCTTCATCCAGATTATGTAAAAGAAAATCAATCTGAAATGTTGAGATACTTGAGTGGATCCAGTGAGCAATAGAGAAACACAGGACTTCTGTTAAGTGACCTTAAAATGCACTGTTAACAGTGAACGGTACGTGAGAAGATAACCTTGAACTAAAGTCTACTGACCCAAATTTTAAATTTTCAGAGGCCCATCCCTGGAACTTTTTGATCCCACCTCTCATAGCTATATATAGATATATATATACATGTATATATACATATACACATTTATGTATATACACACCTATGAACTTATGTACAAAAAATGGGTCTTTTATTCTATTACCACAACGGAGATGGCGCAAAAGAAAACAAGAATAGATTAGGAACTCAAATGAAGACCTCAAGACGCAGAGTACAAAAATATCATAATATTTCATGAGATAAGTAATAACTGTATTGCCCAAAAGGCCCTTGGCAGTTTTCTTAAACAGTTTTTCTAGAATGTTGGAGAAATTTAAGTGCAATTCTGTCATGCTATCACTTGAAAAGTGTTGTTGGTTGAAGGTAGAAGAGGAAAGAAATGGCAGTTGTCATAGTTGTGCTTATTATTTTCTATTCCCCTTATCAAATGACCAAAAAAGTTACTTCAGCGACATTTTTTTTGTTTGGTTTTTAAGAAAAAGACACCCAAAAAATTCAGAACCTGAGTCATAATCATTCTGAACAGAGGACAAAAACCTCTGCTTCAAACTCCTAACCTCCAGCTGGTCATCGGTGGTCAGTCTAGGGTCAGTTCTAGGGTTCTGTTTAATTAACATAGGAAACGGGCACATTTGAAGAAACTATGTTACCTTTCAAATGAAGTACATTCATTTTGGCCGTACAGTTTTTTTTCTGGATGTTCCAAGTAGGTGATAAAGTCTTTAAAAAAGGGTAGATATTAGCCTAAACCTACCCCTAAATGGGTTGCCAGTGACCTGGGGGATGTTAAGAGTTTGAAGATATTGTGTTTGGGTAAAGGTTTACCAGTTCAATGCATGATAAATTGTATTTAGTAGGAAGTATATTATTAATGCTATAAACAAACACACATTGGTTTGTTGCTGTGAAGTTGTGCTATTACCGAAGGCAAAAAGTACTCTTTTTTTTTTCTTCTACGGCTGATCATTACATGCATTAATAGTGCATAGGGTAAATGATTTCTAGGAGTTGCCTGCACTTATCTGATCACCTGTGTAGTATAAAGATTTCTTACTTTTTTGATTAGAAAAATCTTTAACTTAACTGGTTCTTGTTTCTTTTTCTTTTTTGCAAATACTGTAATATTTATTCAATTGCTGGCTTTGTATCTTGCTATTTACACATTACTGAGAGGGCAAATGTGTTGGGAAATGACTGTCACAAATCCCAATTACAGTACATACTTTCAAAAATAAAAAGAACTCGGTACTAAGGGTTCAAACACTGCAAATATAAAAACAACTTAAATGAGAACTTGGTCCAAAACTCGGTAGTCTTTTCTCAGTCTCTTTTTCACTTTTGTCTTATTGTGTTACAGTCTTCAACGTGGCAGATTCCATCATGTATAAAAGCAACAGAGAAAAGGAAGAAAAACAAATGAAATGAAAAAAGTCACAAAAAAAACCAACAACAAAAAAACAAACCAGAATAAAACACCTCAACAAAACAGTCCAATCAGACATAGTAGAGCCAGTAGATGAGGTTGAAGATTGAGAACACGGAAGGGAAAATGATCCGTGACCAGCGATCAATGGCATTTACATCCGTCAGGTCGGGGATTTTGATTTTTAACTGCGAGGACCGCCTCCGCAGGCGGCTGCGTTTCATCTGAGCGGAGCGGTCCAGGGAGTGACGGCTAGCAGAACATGGACCGATTCCGCCACTCTGCTTGCGATACTGGATGTGCGATGAGGCAGTGCTGTCCAGCTGCACCATGGACTGAGAGTTCCTAATGTCTGCCACGCTGGTGGTGATCTCACTTCCTGCCACTTCATTATGGATTTCCAGGGTGGTCAGCAGAATGTTCCCATGACCATGTGGCTCTGCCTGAATGGAGAAAGAAAACAGTTATGAATATCAGCACTTTAGGAACCTTCCCTCCAAGACCAAGAATTGAAGGAATCCTGAAAGAAAGATTTTCATGGCCATCTGGGGTTTAAAGTCCGTACCACCCGAACCCTAGCTCCATTGGTTGGAATGATTATTTTTTTGTTTCTTGGGAGAAGAATATAATAATTAAAAAAAAAAAAAAAAAAGCATTTTCTGATTGCCCCTTGAGTGAGTATTAGCATTATTGTTAGGGTTGGGTCCCATCACCTTTGCAACCTAGCCCTCAAACGGTTAAAATATCTTGCATTGAAAAACGGAACTAACACTGGAAAAACAGGAAAACAGGAAAGCATACATTGCAATACAAATACTGAAGTAACAAATGGGCCTTGTTAGGCTCATTGCTACTTTGTTTCCACCAGTATGACATTGCATCTATTAGGATGCAAAAATGGGAGGCTCCTTTTAAAGCACTGTTACGCATTTTCTTTTCTTTTCTCATGCCCGACCTCATCTGAATTCCCCCATGAGATTACATATCAAACATTGTTTTTTTCTTTTATCTGAGCCCTTGTGGTTCAAACACTTTCAAAACAAAGTGTTGAAAAAGTTTCGAGGATTATTGTATTTCTTCAAAGGATGGATGGCTTAGTTTTACTCAAACTCTGCATCACATCATATAAAAATAAATAGGAGCTACCGTAGACTTCATATTAATGTTGATTTTGGCAGCTTACATAAACAAATGTATCTGTCAGGCATTGTTGACCTTTTCTGCATAAAGCCCACACAATTGTTCTATGCAATCAAAGTGAGCTTGTTCTATCAGGTGGCAGTAATGGAACATCGGCTGTCCAAAACAAGGCTAACCAATAATCCAGACTGGAAATATGTAACACCACCTGACATTCGGAGGACACTGGTCTTTATTTTTCAAGTTGTAAAAGGCAAATTATTGTAACTTTCAACTTTAAATTCACAGTATGAGATGCCCTCTTTTTTAAAAAAAACAAAAACATTTTTGAGTAATTTTCGATGGCTAGCTAGCTAACTTAGTTGCATGTCCGTTAACCTTGTTGAGTTTCATTAATGCACGAACACCATTCTGATTGAGACCATAAACTCAACTGAAAAGTATTTCCTGAGGTCACAGATAAGAGACAAGTGAAGAGTCGTTTTCCATAGAGTTTTGTCTCTGTGGAGTTAGTCAGGATTACTCCCTCTACTCCTTATTCACTCCATTGTAGCAATGGTTTGGAGAAGCTACAACACGCTTTGGCTGAATAGCACGTTGAACGCATTTACTATATGGAATTAGGTCTTCAGTTTGCTAAAATCAAAAATGAGAAAAAAAACAAACAAAAACATATTTGTCACATTTTAACATGCAAATATTCACAGAATTGACTTTTTTTTAAACATTGTGACTATAACTGTAATCATGTTGCATTGCTGCTGCACATTAATATGCCAATATAGTCCATGATAACACATTAAATTGCTAACCTGATACATCAGTTGAATAGAAGTTATTTCAGTTCATTCATTGTCATATTCAACAGTTAAATTCAACACAAGATACATCATAATCCATGCTTATGATTATAGACAAATCAACATTAATGAAAAGTAGTGATTGCTCATGCAAATGTAGCAACTGTGGAAGTCCCATCGTTCCTTTTTGTTTGAGTTAGAATTAAAACTGCTGCAAGAAGCTTGTTATTGTGAGGTGTTTGATTTACTAATTATTAGCCTATGCACTACCCCATCCAGAAGTTTTATTTTTCATGTGCTATACACTATATTATATTTCAGAATATTTTATTGTTTTTTTAAAGCACTGTGATCCATCTCTAGTCTGCTTACCTGGTGATGTGAAGCACTTAGCATACAGGCTTTTTTGGAAACAGGTTATACTGTTTAAAATGTCAATATACACTGATTTTCAAATCATTTAAGACATATTTTTAATTGGGAAGCATACGGCAACTTGCCCATATGTGAAGGCAACGTTAATGCTGTACAGCAACTACAGATTTTAGAGCATCACATGCTACAATCCAGACGACACTATTTCCAGGGATGGCCTTAATTGTTTCAGAAAGATAATGCCAAAATGCATTCTAGAGATATGCCCACATCATGGCTCTTTACAAATTCCTACTCTCTCTCAGTTATATCATTTAAGAAAAGCTCTGTCAAAGAATGCCTTGTAGAGTGGTAAACATATTTTTATTGCAAATCTAATGAAAAATGTGCTAGATTAGCATATATTCTTTAAAAAAAAAACATTATGGGTTTAACATTTGATAAATTGTCTTTGTACTATTTTTAATTTAACACAGGCTTTAATTAATTAGTAAATCACTCATTTCTATTTTTATTTTACACAACATTCCAAATCTTGTGGAAATAGGTAGAAATCTATCTTTGTACTTATATTTAACATGTAGTACAGCTACATTTCTGATTTTAGTGCATGTACTGCTTTCACCAGAGTCTGACTGATTTATGGTCATGCCAGTAAATGACATTATTAGCTATTTGAACAATTTGATGGTTACGTAGAGATTATGCAATTTCCCTGTTGTCAAATGTGTCTGGGATGCCACAAACACAATAACCGAAGGAGTAAATAAATTAATGGTTATGGAAAAAGGTTAGGCAAATCTGTTTCTTTTGTGTGTCTAAAAGAAAAAATATACTATCTGATACAGCGCAATATCAGATTTTTAAATCACCAAATATGGGTATCAGTCTTAAATATCATATATCAGTCGGGCTCCAGTAATCAAGATTTACCACATAATAAAAAAGCTTATGGTGGCTACCAATCATCACTAGACTCAATACAACTTTTTGGAGTGTAATAAACCTGAGGTTAAATATGAACTGTTTTTCAAGTCTTATGTTATTAAATCAAATAAAACAGTCACTTTAGTATCTTTCTTTGTAAATATGCTGCACTCGTTCCCTATATTCAGATTAATTCATTTGTTTTGTATACCACTGTGCATGGTGGGGGACCTCTGCAGTGACTACCCACTGGCAGGTGGACTGCTTCACCACATTCTTACATGCACTGTGAAAGAAATGGCTTCACTGATGACTTCGATGAGGAAAGATATACAGACAGCATGCATTCAAAATGAGCTCTGAAAGGAGGAAACAAGTCATATCAGAAACACCAATGTGGCAAATCTGCGATGTCATGGAGATGTCTGCGATTGCTCAGTTTATCACATGGATGGAGAAATATTTTTGCATCAAGGCAAAAGAAAACGCATCCATGTCTGCTGATGATGACGGCGAATTGAAGGGTCTCACTGAACAAAACAACTCACCGAGCGTGAGTGGCGAAGACCTTTAACCTGATTGGACCGTTTTAGGGACGCGGTCCTACTACCTGCCTCCTGAGGAGATGAAGATTTTCAGCCACATGTTGGGAACAAATGTCTGAAACTTTTTTTTCTCCATTTAACCAATATATTTTTTGACTGAACACTATGAATAAAGTAAAGCAGGTAAACAGCATACAACGTTCCCCTTTTGTTATACATATCCTGATATGTGAATATTAAAGTAAAGAAACTGATAATTATTCTTGAGAATGACTAACATACAGCTCCATTGACAGGTTTAGTTATCCTGCTAGGACTGTGGACATTCATATTTTTTCAGTACAACAAAAAATGTCATGTCATTCACATTTTTCACTCATTTTCAAAAGTGTCTAACAGGCAACAATCCCTAAGGTAGTACCTCACTCTTAACTGTTGAAAAGAAAAGAATCCTTTTAATTTTGAGTATTAACAAAATGCATTTGGACAAACTTATTCCACATTAATGTCGACAAATCACAAAAGCCATCAATGGAGTTATAGAACAGCACATATTAGCCCTTCTTTTCTCCTATTTTCTTGGTGCTAAAGAATGGCCATATTGTCCAGCAATGGCGCTGGTACTCACATACAGCTAGAGTTGAGCAGGTACAAGTTCTGAATGATCTGGTCCACTTTTACTAGCATGCACTGCCAAAAAGAAAAAACAAACTTCTGAAAGCAGCTACATATATCACATACAAGTCCAGCATCACACCATTTCATTTGGCAAGACATTTCTCTTCAGTGTACTCACACTCCCAGAACGTTTTGGCAGTGCACCAGCTGCCGTCCAGCCGTGCTGTCGGCTATATAGCATGCTAGCAGGGTTTGCCTTTAAAGCTAAATTGACTGTGTTCAAATTTTATTCAGTATCTACAACGTATTATCACCCACGCCACATTTTATCAGCCTTCCTGCCGAGCTAAATCCTGCAACTTCTCACTTCAAACTTATAGTATATACAAAGCCTCCTATTTGGGCCTGTCTATTAACTTTTTGAAGTTACGCAAACAGTGTAACGTCAGCAACACCAGCTACACTATGGCTACATTAAGCTTAGAAAACTCTTACCTACATGTTTACTGTCAGTAGTATTCAGGTGCTGGTAACAAAAAAAATATCTTAAAACAATAAATAGTTAATTTTTAAATAACAATAACGATGGCATTTGAAATTAGAATGAAGAAGACTCGAAAGTTTTCATGTTTGGCTTTTGATTTTAAAGGCAAAGCATTTTCACTGCTGGCTTTGGTGGCAGATTTGAAATATTCACAAATATGTAACAAACTTCCCGGATTCCTTGGTTTTCTCTGCTGCTGTTGTGATAATACACACCCAGGTATCCAGTGATCAATAATCAAATTCAAACCTACCCTTGCCGCGTCGTACTTAGCCGCCCTCTCGTTGTTGGCCTTTTCTGCCTTCTCTGCCAGTTTCTTTTGCATTTGTGGGCCCCTCCCGAAGAAGATGTAGTTGACGAAGGCGTACTCAAGCAGGGCCAGAAAAACCATGACGAAGCAGCCCATCAGGTACATGTCAATAGCCTTAACGTAGGGGATCTTTGGGAGTGTCTCCCTCAAATGGGTGTTGATAGTGGTCATGGTTAGCACAGTGGTGATCCCTTCAAATAGAAGAAAAAACATTGTATTTTTGATCTATATATTTACAGCAAATGCCTACAGCAGAGACAACAACTGGTCTACAGATTCTCGGCAAGCACTAAAACACTTCTTCTTAAATAGAAAAAAGAGAGAAAATGAAATTGCCAGAAACGATCCTCAAGGCTACGCACTATATAGTTTGTATAGAACACAGATGTCAGTAGCCCTCAGGAGATGTTAGCTATGGCAAATATGGTGCCAACTTTAAGAAATCCAAGTCTTGTTAAGGACGAACATGTCTACTTTAGAAAGACTAGGTATCTGAACCAAAGGGATAACAATTGGTTGGACTGTTTATCTAATGAGGTGATGGATTGGGCTTATAAAACATGACTTAAGTTTAGTTGGCTTTATCTTCAAAATCATCTTCCTGTGTACTTTTGTACCATTTGCTGGCACAGCCCCATCATCTCTAATGAATTTTCTCTATTAGGATGTTACTCTTGAAGTCTACTAGAATCCTGAAACAATAATTCACGTTTGCTCTTTCCACAAGTTTGAGATCCATGAAAGAAGGCACAGAGTAGGAGGTCAGCACGACGATCAAAAATAGAAGCCATGTCTTGACATGCTCATGAAGAAGTGATGAGGTTTTTGATTTATGTGGATGTATTGTAGTGTTTTTATGCTATTGTACCTTGTTGAAAATAACAAAAATGCAGGTAGGTCTTCTGGGTCTGACTAAATAGACAATAAGAATCAAAAGAAAAGCTCAAAACATGTTAGACTGCAAAGAAGCTGAACCTAACATCTGGCTTACTTGTTGGGTGTATCTTACACACGAAATATTTAAAAACCCACTTGCATGTAGTATGCCATTGCTGCCCTATATAATCGCATATCTTGGCTTACCTCATTAAAACAAACAAACAAAAAACCCTCACCTCTCAGACTGTTATCCTTTTAATTGAGGCTTTTAAACTAATCACAGTAACATTACTGGATTTAGATCACTCAGCAAAATGTTTCAAAGACAAACTGTGGAGGAAGTCTGTTTTTTCTTTCTCCGAGGCTTCCTCATGACCAATCTTCATAATCAATCCTGGATGGTATATCTGACGCTTAATTAGTCCGAGACTGTCTTTAAACAGATGCTGCTGTCTCGACCGAAACCTTAAGGTCACACTGAAAACTCCAGCAGATGTCTTTGCCGTTACTACAGTAACAAGGCTAATTTTACAAAAAACATGTTTGTACTGTGGCTGTTTCTATTGCTAGTTACGAGCACGACTGACCTGGCAGAGAAAAAAAAAGATTATGGTGCTTGCTATCGTCAAGAACCAGAGAAACAGCAAGAAATAGCAGCAAGGGTGAGGGCATGTATTTAATTAGAAAATCCTCATAAAACAATTTGCCCGTTGTAAACAGGATCAAATATAAAAGCGATCAGCAGGCACAAGCTGCTAGGTAGGTGCACAAAGTCTGCCTCATTGAAATTCAAAGGTCTGCCTTGTAACATCCAACTGCCCCCTTGGTTACTAAGCAGAAATAACTCATCAGAATAGTGTTGCATGTATCTAGCCCCCAGCTCCTGGTAACCTTAACTACTAGGGATAAAACACACCATTGACAGTAAGAGCACCTTCACACATGGCAGAACGACAGCATGAGGTGAGCCTCGTAAAATTATAGCCACATACAGAACTGGATGAGGGTCAATGCATTTTACGATGACCCCTGAGCACCCACCGTAAGAAAGGATGGGCAAACAGCATGAACACTGAATTCTCTTTAACTCACACAAAGGTTTTTGGTTCATGTGCCATAAAGTAGAGCAACGAGACATGGAGCAGTCAGAGGGGGGTCGCGGAGGAGGGTGCAGGAGAGCTAAGGTCTGTCCAAGCCTTCGTGTGATTTATTGGCACATTACAAGGCTAAACAGCACTCGCGTGTGTGCACTGCAGGTCTGAATGCGCATGAGCTTGCTCGCACGTGCACGTGCTCAGTGCCACCACCCGTACTGGATGGTGTAATCTGGTTTTCTTTTTTTTCCCTCCACATAATGACAGTCTTGTTCTTTATAGGTGTTCGCTGAGCTGTACCATTAATCTCTGTCCTTCGCTCCCTCTCTTCTTCCAGTCCTCACTTCCTTTCATTTGCCCCCTCCCTCGCTCCCTGTTCGGACAATTTAATCAAGGGGCCACGCGCATGTGGGCCTCCCTCCTCTTTCATCACGGTGTTACACTCTTTGGGGAGAAATATAGTTTGATGGGGTTTCTCTTGCTCCCTTTCCTTCTGGTCTCTCCCCTCCTCCTTCCCCCCACCTTGTCTTGTCTCATTGTTCCCCGCTTCTTAATCTTGCCATCATTTTGTGGTGATTTCCCTCTTTGCTCACGCAGCACATTTTTTTAAGAGTCCCCTCCCCCACCTTTCTCTTGTTATATGTCCCCAAATCTCTTTTCCACCCAAACAGCTGAAACAAAGGCGCACGGCAATCAAATCTCCTCTAATCATGTGCCAATAGGCCATTAGGAACACAGCTCCACATTATGAAAAGAGAAAAAGATATATTATACAGAATCCCATTATGCCTGTAAAATGACAGGCACAGGAGGTAAATCAAAGCAGTGTTAATTGAACACTTCAATTCATCACTTGCAGACAGCGCAAACTGTCAGTCTGATAGGACTGCACGCGGGGCTTAAAGCGCATAAAAATGTAGTAATATGTCCATAAAGATGTGGTTTGACAATCATTAGAAAAATGTCTTTGTTCTTCAAGGGGTACAGGCAGTCTAGTAGGACTGCAAACTAAACTAAACAGATATACTTACATCTTGGAAAGCTAAGAAAACTTGGCAGCAGTCTGTAGAGTTTCAGCTTTGGCATTTGAAGTTCTGGGGCAGAAAGCAGAACTCTATTGACATACTTCTACTTTTTCTGACAGTAAAATTAAGTTATTTTAGTGCATGCGCAACAAAAGTGGTAACTAGCATGACTGTTGAGGGCACTGGAGCTAAGTGACTGATGAACATGAACAGATGATTTTGGAGCAAATAGGTCTCTATCTCAAACTTTGGAAACTACCCCTTATGTGCCTTTGTAACTTAAGAGGTCACTCAGTAGCTTGTAGAGTTATTTTGTACCCTTAATGACAAGTTTTGACGCCTCAGTATATATCAATAAAGATGTGTTTTTTGGGGGGTTACTCCCAGTAGATGCCCAAGGGGTAAGAGTTAAAGATTTATCAGACCTTCTAAGTTCTCACTGGTGATCCACACATCAGTGGCCTCTCTGTGCTGAGCATGCTTTCCCCTCTGCGTGTGGGTTTTCTCAGGGTATTGCTTCTTCTTTCACAGTCCAAAGACATGAATGTTAGATTAACTCACGATTCTAAAGTGGCTTGAGGTGTGAATCTGAGAATGAATGGTTACCTGTCGGTTTTAGCCCTGTGACTGACTGGTAACCTGCCAATGGTGTATCCCACCTATCCAAATGGATAGATGGTTATGATATGTATTATCTAATCTAAAACAGCCTGACATTGGAATTGTAGCACACTGTCTATAAACTTTAACCTCTCAACATTCACCAGGTCAACATTAAACTGGTTAGATGTTAGATGAGGTTAGATGCTAAACACAGCCATCATCAGGAAGTATAAAATTGACCTTTCAAATCAACTCTCTTACATGTAGTCGGCCTTTTGCTAAAAGATCTCCATCTCTTAATAGGTAAAAATTCCATATGAAAATTTCAAAAGTTTGAACAAACATATACTGATTTCAAACTTATGTGTCTTATGTTACTCTAAAAGTGTTCTTGTACAGCTAACTGTACCCTAACTGTACACATAATACAAGTATGAATAAAGGTCCTGACTGTGGAAAAAAGCTTGCAACCAGATTAAGGTGCAAGCAGGTAATTTGTAACTTTGCAATCCTTTGGAATTGCTCAGGAAAATGAGATTCTCCTTCAAACAATTCAATTGTTTGCCTGCTGCCTCCTGGAATTGATTTCCTCCTGATCATTACACTGCTTTTACCGGCAGGTGTGTGCACACACATAGACACAAAGAGCAATCCATGCACACACACACAGCCTCTTCCACAATCAAGATATCTGCTGAAAGCTCAAAAAGGTCCATCAGGAGTAGAGAATGGACCTCTGGTTGCCTTTCGCCTGTCGAGCTACATGCCGGATATTGCAGCTATCACACATACAAAAAAAGCAGACATACACTCCAAGGCATACGATAATGACCGGATATTGCATACATGCCTTGACGAAAAGAAACGGAAAGAAACCGTGCAGTAACAGAGAAGTATATGCACACACACACACACGCACACGCGCACACGCGCGCGC